GCCGATTTGTTGGGAATTTATCATATCCATAACGCTGACAAAGACAATTATGATAAATGCCAACAGAATTTCTATCTCCCCCCCTCTCACAATTGTGTCAAATTCCGACACAAAAATTATTCATAATTTTCAACCAATTACAAAATTACAGATGCAATATTTTTGGCAGAAAAATATATTAAATGAAAATACAAGATGTATTCATGTACACCCACTGCAAGGTATCCGACAAATACTTTTCATAATGACTTGAAGCGCTTAAAATATTTGAGATTCAACAAAGCAACAAATTGTAGCGGAAAAAGAATACGCGAAAAAGCAACAACGCATAAATTCAGACAAAAACAAATTTCAAACATTTTTTTGGGAATATTTATAGTTTTAAAAAGTCTCAATTCTCATTCAAGTGTGAGTGTTTCTTGTCTCTATTCTTTTGGGCCGGGGATGCTGCTCTCAATTCTTTTCTCACATATAAAATTATCATAATTTCTGTTAGGTTTCTGAAACAAAATCTGCGACATTGTCGACAAGGGTTGTGGGCAAAATAGGAGGAAAACATAAACTCGACATTAAAAACAAAAAAAACAAGAATTTAGTTAAAGAGCCAAAATTATTTTAGGATTTATTTTTCATTTATGCAAGGCAAAGAGTTAGAATGGTGTATAATCCTCAGCATGAAAACCCATATACATTTGTTTATTAGTTTTTAAAAGAATAAACATTCAGTGGTCATAAATCATGGGTCTCCCGGGGGCAGGTTTTAAGTTGTTCTAGATGATTCCCTTGCATCCTTGCAAAAATACAAACCCATTTTTCTGTTCCGAATTTTTAATAAAAAGCACAAAACACATTTTCTTTTTGAGTCATTGACGCAAAGCAATTTTTGCATTTTAGTGTCAAGATAGTGTTGCTTTTTTTGTGTATTTTGGCACTGGCGGCCTCCCTCAAATTTTTCAGGGTGTTCGAGGGGGTCTTCAGGGGCTGGGGTGCTTGTCTACACGAGGCAGCAACAATTATTGCTTGCAATGGGCTATTTCGAAGCTGCCGCCACACTGCGATGTGCGAGGTCCTCCTCCGCACCTGCACCACCAGCACCGCCAAAATCAACACCACCCATAGTCGCTGCCAAAAAGAAGACACTTTGAAAGGCATTTTTATTTGGGGGGTAGGTACGAGGGTTGGTTGTCACAGAAACGCAGATCACAGGGAAAGCTAAAAGTCCCAACCAGATGCGTAGTGGGTATACCTATTCCTGAACCCCCAAGTCGGTTAGTGGAGCATTCGCAAATGGCTTTTCTATAGATTGTATGACGGATCATAAATCATCATCAGCGGTGGCAAACTCAAAAGTTAATTGCTCATGAATTAGCACAAATGTACCCATATGGACCCATATTTGTCATAGTCCCATAATAACATTTTATATGTTTAGGTCCTGCCATTTATGGCAGTGTTTTAAGTCTTATCAACTGTATCCTTAAAGAAAAAGAATTTTTTATGAAGTTGGTTACATATTTACATACACCCATTAACAAAATAGCATTTTCAATATTTCATGTTGAAAATATTGAAAATGTATACCTATATTTAACCTGTAAAATAATCTAAGCTTTACCAAATAACATTTTTTGAAAACTTGTTTGCCGAACACTGAGAACTAAGTTCCACACTAATAATATTTATTGGCAGATATAGTATTTCTATTTCACTATTTCAGAAATCTGAAATTGTAATATATCAATCAGTATCACCATTTCAGAAATCTGAAATTATTATATATCATATAAGTTAGCATTGGAGATTAAAAACATTATTTGGCCTTCAAAAATATTATTTTTATTTTTATTGGGAATAATTGATATCTTTTAAGACAGAATATAACAAAAATATATTGAAAGCAAAAAAAAATATTGTATTCATATGATCTTTATATCCCAGGTCGAACTGTAAATGCTTTTCGCTCAGATATGGGTGAAAATGCATCCTAGTTTAATGGCATTCCGCCCTATAGGTTTCATTGAAAGATATCAGTAACCCTGCCCGAAATTTTTGTCAAATGGTATTCCCTAAAAATTCTGCACAACCAATTGGTTCACATAAAATGAAAATATTTTAAAAACGCCAACCGTGACCAAAATACATGCATAGTCTATAGATAACTCTCGTCTAAATGCATTGGAACCCATCCAAATTGTCGATATAAAAATATCCATCGTCGGCCGGTTGCTCCGCAATCCGCAAGTCCCAACCCCCAAACCGTAGTTCGTAATCCTCGAGCGCCGATCGTCGGTCAACGTCGTGCACTCGGCGGCATCTGCATCGCATCTCTGGTGCACCGATCCCATGCCCACATCCACATCCATTACCCGAGAGATCTCTCTTAATTTCGCAAATGATTTAGCCTGGTGGGGAGGCTGCAGGAGGAGGTTCGTTGCCAGGTAGCACATGGCATGACAAATGAAGGAATACTTCCTGCATTACGTGTGGGTTATGCAACAGGGGCTCTGGCCATCCTACGAAATATCTGGTAATTGCACGTCTTGCCAAATTCCTTTCCCAATGGAGCGATGCACGGAAATTTTGACATTTGCACTTGCAACTGTCAATCCAGAGTTAATACAGCCGTATACCAATACATTGTAACTATGGATCTTTGTTCTTTGATTGATCACTAACAGAGAAAACTGATGTTAAAGGCATTAATTATAATAAATCCATATATACCTACTGAGAAATCATACCAAAAACTAATATTTTAAGCTGCCAAAAAATATATATTAATATCCATTTTCATCATATATATTTTTTTTAATGATGATGATCTCAATAATATCAATAAAACCAAAATTTTCTAAGATGCAACAAGTATTCCTCATTAAAAATTTTTTTTATTTGAAGTGACCCAACGGGTTTTGTCACGTTACTAGCGGAATAACCCAAACATTAAAATATATTAAGCCAATCGACAAATAATAATAAAAGTTACCAGAAAACGTTGTTCTAAAAGCAATGATATCATTGTGGTATAATAATTTCCATCGTGGTTGTTGTGGTTTCTTGCCAAAACGAATCCCAACGTGTTTATTTTCCAAATACACAATTTTGTTTAGATATTTATGCAATCTATAAAACGGAAAACGTTTTCCAGCCCTCAGCTGGGTGTTGATGTGGACCCGTGTGGTCTGAAATGATTAATTGCCTCGGCTCAATTGAAAATCGCACACGCATAATGCAAAACCGATCCGCAGAAGATGTCTCTACCCATAGTTGTATGTAGATGCCATCTATCGCTAATTAATTAGGCAATCCAATCGAATCATTTAGTATTAGTCACTGATGTGTGGAGCATTAAAAATTATTTCTGTAAGCATTTGTCACCCAATTAAACCGACTGCAGCCAAGTACGCCAGGCAGCCAGCCATAGAATCGACTATATAGCCCACTAGCATACTATAGAACTCAAGTGCAGCGAATTGCAATAATCGAAGTCTATATAGCGTCGAGACTTTTATTAATGATGAGTGAAAATGGGAAATGAACATATTTTCCATTTGCACGGGGGGCAATATACCCTCCCCCCCTGCGGACGCCTCTGCGCGTAATGTGTGTATGCGTTCTGATTAATCATGTACAGCCATATAGCCATAAAGACAGCATGGAAAATGACTCAGTACCCAACCAAATGTAAAAGTATTTTTCGATTTTGTTTTTAGAAATTTATGAGCGACAAGCAAAGTGTATTTTTAAAACATATTTCATACTCCACCAAAAGTGAGGGAAGAACATAATGTATTTGGGTCGTATCGAATATGTATAATAAGTTTAGAAAGTTTTAAAAGGGGCAGATAATATAAAATAATGAAACGGCAGGTAGAGTTCTTCATACAAATATCGGGTGTAGGACCTCGTACTAGTTGTATGTGTATATATTATATATGGTGGATTCTTTATATACCTTGCCAGCAGCATACCTACTGAATCTAAAAAACATTTCATATGCGTTTAATATAGCCGCCGCTGTGTTCTAAATTTAAAGCAAAAGCTATTTAGTTGCGAAGAAGTTCAACACAAGCGAACGTTCGCTCTACTCAGTTCTGCAGTTCTCTATGTATTCGAGCGAGAGTATCTAAAATTTAAAATTTACTATGTAGATATGTAGAGATACACACTCGCACACAGGGACTGCGTCCTGGGCACTAACTATACGGATCCACGGATCCACGGGCGCAGAACGCATACGCCGTGTGGTACGCCGACCGACAAGTCCGTCAACATATCTCACAGATACGCCAGATACACAGATCTAATGCGATCGTATCTGCATCTGTATTTGTATCTGTATCTGTATCTGTAAAGAAGCACTCTACTTTTTTTTTTTCCTTTCTTTCATTTTTTTGCCGTGCTCGTCAGCACGTCCATGTCCACGTTGTGTTGGTGTTTTCATCTCATGAAATGTTTCAATTTGTCTATTTTTAGTAGCAAGTTTCTTTTTGTTTATTAGTTCTTCTTTTTTTTTCTTTCTTGACTTTCCCAGCATTGTACATAGCAACGATGTATATAGGGGCTTGGATATATAGCAGTGGGTCGGTTTGGGTTGGGATGTTTCTGCTGCTCTGATTTAACGTCACAACTGAGGAATGTCTTCTACACGATCTAGCTGGATCCACCACGCATTGTTTGTTTGTGCCCCGAAAGCTTTGGCCATATATCCCGATCTGTTTATATAGCATCCATATACATGGCTCGCTAATGGCTAGGTGTTTGCATAGATTTCGCTTTGGCTGTCTATAAGGTCAAATTGTGCCCGTGCGAGATGCCTTTGATGATAGGCTAAGGTATCGCAAATGGGCTTATATATAAGGCATCCATTTGGAATGGGATTTGTTTTGCAAATCTTAAAATACAAAGATTTAGCGTTGAATAAGCTAAACTTTTATCATAAAAGATGCTTTGATGATAGGCTAAGGTATCGCAAATGGGCTTATATATAAGGCATCCATTTGGAATGGGATTTGTTTTGCAAATCTTAAAATACAAAGATTTAGCGTTGGATAATCAAAACTTTTATGATAAAAAGATGATTTGATAACAGGCTATGGCATCGCAAATGGGTCTTTATATAATGCATTTGGAATGATATTTCTTTTTGCAATATTTAAATACTTGGTATGTATGGTACATATCTGCTAACTCTTATCATTAAAAGGTGCCTTGATGATAGGCTAAGGGTCAAATAGGATTTATATAAAGCATTCTTTGGAATAAGACTTGATTTTGTAATTTTTAAATATTAAGAATGAATTTTCTATTGAACCATGATACCTGCAATACTGTTATCATTAGTTAAGGCGCCTTAATGATAGGCAAAGGTATCTCAAATGGGTTCTTATAAAAGGCGTTCATTTGGAATGAAATTTATTTGTGCAATTTTCAAATAATAAGTATTGTATTGGACCATAATACCTGTAGAACTGTTATCTTAATAAAGGTACTTTGATGATAGGCTAAGATATCGCAAAAGGGGGTTTACATAAGCAATCAGTTTGGAATAAGATGTGATTTTGCAAATGTTCGGACACGAAGCGTATTATTTTCTTATCAATTAATAATTGTGATTTGATTGTATTGCAAATGGGTCTTTACATAAGGAACTCGTTAAGATTACGATTTGTTTTTGCAAAGTTCCGAAACGAAGAATGTGTTTTGTTTTTGAGCATATTATCTGCAAAACTCTTATCATTAATTAATTAATTACGGGTAATGTTACGCTTAGATTAGCGATACTAAGCGTTTTGTAAACAAGTCGGATAAACACGGCCACACACACATATGACCTGCTATAAAGTCTCGATCGATGGGGTGAATGGAGCTTATCGCCACCACGGCACGTAAATCAATATTAGTCTTATCTTGACTAACTGTGAGAATTCGCACAAACCGCACAACAGACCAAAGATATTGGCCCTCAGCCATGACAGAAACGTGTATCCATAACCACGGAGCTCACTAGAGTTTCACTTTCCGCACGACATGGGTTACTGGTCGGAGACTCGGGCCTGGATCTTCCGTGATCCAGCCAAGCTCATTCGCTACCTGGTCCTCTTCGCCTGCTGCATTGTGGTCATTGTCCAGTTGTACGAGTGCTTCTCCAAGCTCTACGATCCGCCCATCTCCACGCATTCCTACTACAGCCTGAACGAAACCATCGAAATGCCGGCGGTCACCATTTGTCGGGAGCCGCCTTATAAAGAGGAGATGCTAACGGTTAGTGTATCAAGAAAATAACATGATTTTTTTTTGAAAACTTTCTTAAAAGCTACTTAGAATAAAGTTAAATCTAACTATATTTCTGTAGCGCCTTTCTGGAGGTGCCTGTCCCCACCCGAAATATGCCACCTGCTGGATGAACTATCCTTTTGGAGAAATATCTCTGGAAGAGTTCTTTGAAAATAGCACTCATGATATGGACGACACTTTTGTTTTTTACGGCCTTAACGGAAATCCAAATAGTAGGTTAAATAGATTTCTAATCGCATAAGACGTTATTATTATAATATGATTTCATTTAGATGTGGTAATGAACAGCAGTCTACATTTTTATATGGGTCGGTGTTATACCCTTAGACCCAAGGAACCCGCCAAGAGGGTATCAAGAGACGTGGGATACTCCCTGATGCTAGAACATTCCATGTTGACCACTTCCACCAGCGATGTGGATACAGGTGGTGTCGGCTGGCATGTTTTCATACACGATAAGAAGGAAAACTTTACAGGTAAGCTTACCATTGATGAAAAAACAAAACAAAAGAAGTTTAAAAACCTATTCCGATCCAGAAATCAACATGAAGGGTTCTGGGCGTGTGGAATATGTTTTTGTGGGTGTCAATGAGGAAATTGAGATCAAGCTTCAGACCCAATACTTCTCCAATGTCCAGACGCGTCAAGAGGCTTGTTCCCCCGATGAGGACTACAGTGACTTGAAGGTAGGTTAAGAAGCAATACATTTTGTTAGGCTAACATTTAAGAGTCCTTTCAGTGTGGTGAGCAGTGCATCTGGCAGGATTTGGCTGATAATATGCAGTGTTCGGGACCTTGGATGCATGAAACCGCAAGTGAGCCCTGCAACGACTCTGTTTCCATGAGAAAACTAATATCAGACTATAAGGAGTAAGGATGTGAACATATTTTATCCTTAGGAAATAATAATTTTATCTTTCAGTGTATATGAAAATGAGGATGACTTTGATTGCGACTGTGTTCAGCCCTGCCAATCGAGAATCTACACAACTTTCATTCAGAACCGCAAGGCCTTCATTCAGCCAGAGCCCCGCACCCAAATCTATATATACTACACAACGAAACTGATATCGGTAGGGGGCTAAAATAATATGATGCATCGAACTTTGTCTGTATCTGTTATGTTCCATTTGCAGATGATTGAAGAGCGTCCCAGCTATGACACCACACAATTCATAGCGGATGTGGGTGGTTCCCTTGGATTTCTGCTAGGCCTGTCTGTCTTGGGGTTGATTGGAATACTAGAACACGTAGGACTAGCTATCCTCTAACCCTGAACATTATTTATATATAAACTTTCCTTTCAGATGACTCTCTTTTTCTGTGGCGGCTTCATTAAGAAGATGCAGCAGAAGGAGCAGGCTAGGAAGGAGCGGGAGGTTTCCGAGGATGGTCAGTCCCAAACCAGCGATGAGACCATCGACATAGCCATTGCTTATAAAAAGAAGGATAATAAGCAAACTAAATATTGAGTCAAGAACCAAGCTGGCTTGGTTCTGCATTAGAACTAGGAAGTATAAAGAAAACTATTCCGATACACTTCTTACATTTAATCAACATCACGAACAAGGTTACAGTTTTCTTAGCCTAAAACTTAACATAATACAGATGCACTCAAATAAAAATATTTCGTATGTTTAAGAAAACAGAATAGTTTTAAAATCCAACAAGGTATAGAAATCTTCTTTCGAAGATCTATGATCTTCGGTCTTAAAAAATACTTTGCATTACTAAAATTCCGAAAATATTTCATTTAAGTGTGCAAGATACTTTTGTACGTCTGCCCAGATCTAGATCCTAAAGCTCATCAGGAAACACAGACCAACAATCATTAGGGAGCTCAGGTTCCCCAGAGAAGCAGCTGAATTTACCTTCACCTTGATATTCGTGTTAAGTATATCACCAAGTTTGTTGATCACATCCGGCAGAGGGGAAGTTCTGATTTCGCAGGCAGTGTTCTCAATGGCATCCTTAACACTGGCGGTTAGAATGCGGAAATTAATGGAACCGGGATACAACTCATCGTAGATGAAGACGGGTAGCTGATTGGAAAGGACCCATAAACGTTGCTGATCATCCACCTTGATATCACTGGGGAACACCAAAGTATCGTTGCTCATGAAGATGCGACTCTGGGAACTGTGACTAAATTCGGTGGCAGTGCGCCAGCAGGCAACTTCATTGAGATTGGGCAGGGCGTAGAAAAGGACACCGGTAGCAGGATCCAAGAACTCGGCTCCAGCCTGGGTGTTTGGACCCCTCGAACCCAGTACCTTGAATTCCCGATAAATCATCGTCGAAGTGGCCAAGGTTTGGTTTCGCAATATCGCCGTATCCACCGAGAATTCCGTAGTGGAGCAAAGTGGATGGAAGTACAAGGTGGAATAGCCGGATTCCAAAGGTTTCGACAGAGCCAGACCATATAGACCATCATCCCACTGGAACTCAATGCCATTGATGCTGAAGTTACCGGCCATGGGATCGGGATGGAAGAAATGATGCTGCACTCGCCAAGACTCCTGGTCCTTCCACGAGTAAACCACCAGGCCGGGATTGCCCAAATCGGCAGCATAGGCATAGGTGTTCTCACAATCAGAGTCCTCCACTGCGAGATTGGCCAACAGAGATCCCTGCTTCAACTGGCCAGCGGGCAGGACATGTCGTCGCAGCAGATCATCATTGTGCAGATCGTAGACCAGCAGTTGGGCTGCCCCGTAAATCTTGGTCTGCTCCAGAACCCCAGAGATCCGAGAGTCCAGAACCCAGAGGCGTCCGCATCGATCGGCTCGCACTCGGAATGGAGAAACCAATTCCGGTTCAGCTTCTTGAAGATTGTGGGCCTCCCAACTGGGGAAGGGCTTTAGGACAGGACTCTTGCTGGAAGTATCTGGAAGAATGCAAGAAAGTAATATAAATATTTTAAAATATTAAAAGAAAATAAAAAGGTATAACAACTAAATTTTTAATATTTAAAGAAAATCTAAGCTTTCATTTAGTTTTAATATTTTTTGGAAATGTATTGTTCTTATCAGATTAACCAATAAAATGGCCTCGTTGTTCAAACAAATAGGTTTTAAAATAATTTATAGGCAATCCAAATTAATGATTGGTTAATTTGTGTATTTTTTAAAAAGTTTAACATTATTACTAAATATTCTTTATTATAAAAATTGTTTTATTTATTATAGGAAAAAGCCGTTTAAATTTAAAAAGTTAAAAAAAAATATTGTGGGTTGTATGGTAATAATATTGTACTTTCAATATTCTTTTAACTGTACTAATTATTATTATTATTATTTTTTTTTTCTTGTTTTCTTATAAACTGGTTGGTTTATTTTTTTTGATATTGTCTCTTTCGTCAACAGACACTTCACTTGTTGTGTTGTATTTTAATTTGGGGATTTGCATTGCTTGTTTGTTTTGGATGCCGCTAATTAGACTACTAGAAAATTTTGGTGAGTATTTGTTGACTGTTGGTGAGTAATCCGCACTGGGGCTTTGCAAATTTGCACATGTTTAAACTGATTTACTGGCTAATAAGCCGAGATTGAGTTGTGGCTAAGGCAACTGGCCCACTTGCCTTGTGGTGAGGCGGTAAAAGGTAAAGTAACATTATTTATGCTCTTGGAATTGGTTTAAATGTATACGGGAATATTTTAATTAGCAATGTTTTATAAAGAATATTGAATATTTGTAAGCTTGATTAAATAAATATAATTTAAAACAGAAGAAGACATCAGATTGAAGATAACACATTTTGAAATAAAAGCCTAACCTAATTAATATTGATCTGAAATCTTAGAACTGACAGTATCTCGAGATTATAAAGACCTTTAGTTAAACTTGTTAAAATAGCTTAAAAACCCAGAAAAATTCAGAATGAAGATAACTCATTTCAAAATTAAACACAAACCTATTTACTATTGATATGAAATCTTAGAGCTGGGAATATTTCAAGATTATAGGCCATTCAGTAAAACCAGTACACTTGCTATGACCAAATGTGTACTTCAGAGCCCCCGCACTGAACCCCAGATGAACCCCACTATATATACAATGTATATAACCAGTATGCACCGATTTGTGGTGTTGTCAGACAGTTAATGACGCCAGCGAGCGGAATTATCATGCTAATTGCCACAAGTGCGAAAGGAAACGGAATTGTTTGGATGGTCAAGTTGATCAGACAAACAATTGCCGAGCTGTGAGATTCGAGACTCGAGATCCGAGGTATGAGATTTCAGTTTTCAGATTTGAGATCCCAGATCAGTTCTTGGCACACATAGTGCAATTGCAGCGGGGCAATTATATTCAAATTCAACTGCAAACACAAAATGCTGTGGCAGCTGCAACAATGCAACTCATGCGCTTACCATTAAGATCAAGGTAGGCCAACGAGGCCGGCACTCCGGACCGCCATCTGGGCAGGGTAACAAAGAGTCGGTGACCGGCGACCTCCAGGCCAAAGGGTATCACATTGGCCGGCTTGAACTCGCCCCGCTCGATGGCCGACCATCTCTGGTCCGGACTGGCGTACTTGAAGTCCATTTCCCGCCACTCGTAGGCCACGCGGAGATTGTCGTATCCCAGGGCAGAAACCGCCCACAGAAGGAGCAGTCCATAAGTGAATCGCAGCATGTCTCTAATTTATCTACTGTAAACACAAGAAAATCAATTAATATTAGCTGCTCTACTGATTTAAGCTTCCCTTATGCCGCAATAGCCTTGGCCAAGCCATAAACTCAACCAGATCAGACACTCGGAAAAAGCAAATACGGATTCATTTCATAAGGTACACTAATAAAAAACGTTATAAGTCCAGTGATTTCATATTCAATATAAATATTTTTGGATGTTATTTTTATCAATTTGGGTTTTTACTCACTTAAAATGTAAAAACATTTGGCCTAAAAGTTATAGTTATATGTTATATTATATATTAATATAAAACTATTGTTTTTAATGTTAAGGTTAAATATGTTTAAACGTTATATGTTACAAACACCAAAACTAATATTTTATATTTTGTTTTAAATATTTTCAAATTAAATCAAGCAATTTATTATATTTTGAATTGAATATTATGATTTTGTAATTAGTTCAAATATTTAATACGAAATTTTCAATTCAAAGTGATTTATTTTAACAATTGTATTTTTTTTATAAGTGTAAGTTGTATGAATGGAATTTGGCACAAACAAAATTGTTACTAAAAAATATTTCAGCAATTTATTAACTATTTGTTCTGCTGATTTTCCAGATTTTTTCTCTTTACATTTGTTTCTGTTAAAGTTCATAATCATTCAACAATGTCATTTGGACCAGCCTCCATCGCCATACTTCTTGGCCTTCTTATTTCCCATGTGAGTCACACTTTGTTTTGTCTTTGGTTCTCTTGCTAATTTGAAAGTTGCCTTTGGTCTGTTTCGAGTCGTCCAAATTCTGACTAAGTTGCCAAACCACAAATACTTTTTTTCTGGCTAAAAGCGAGTCTTATGGTTTATTATCTAACCACAAGATCAGAACGTTTTCGGGGAACTTCACCGATGTCTTGTATACCCTTTACGTAGGGAATATTCTGGTACTTATTGCTACCTTTTTTTCCAAAACCTCTTCAGGAAAACATCACTCTTGGATCGTAATTACAAACCCATTCAACCTTTCTCCCTCTCCAGCACAACATCCAATCTTTATTTTTAGAGTATCTCAACAATTGTATCTGAACCATCAATGTATCTGCGTGTCTCGAACACTCGACCTCATCATCAAAATTCAAGTTGAGTCTCGCAATTCAGGCATTAGCATTTCAATGGGCGCACTCCGACTGACCGCCATTCTCCTCGATTGTTCCATCTAACAAAATTTATTGATGATATGGGCATATTTTAGCTGATGAACGATTTGTTCACGCATTTTTCGAGTTTTTTGGGTGATTCAGCTTTAAAATACCTGTACTTTCTTAGCTTTTTACCTTTCCGATTTGGAATGTGGGCGTGTCTAAGCACAGCATGTAATTAAACTTTTAGTTTTATTATTAATGGCTTTTAATCAGGATTAACTTTCATCTCTACTTAACTCGTTATTATTTGTTTGTTTTATTTTTGTTACAGTATTTTGTTTTTTTTCATAAGTGGTTTGAAGGCACACTTTGTAACCAACTCCAGTTTTGCAAACCCTATCAAGTAACACTGCTCGAAGTTTGTGGCTTGGATCTTTCGTTTGGCCCTGGATTCGGTTTTATGACCACCGAGTTTATTTGATCTGCTGGACAAATCTTTACCAAATGTCACAAGCTCGGGTCGGCACTTAACACACCTTTTTTAATTTTACAAAAATCACAAATATAGCGGGAACCCAACCGCCAACGTTGAGACTCGAAACGAAACTAAAAGTCAAGTGAGCCGCCAGTCAAGTCGACTTTTTGGAGACCGGTCTGCGTGAGTGGTTCCCGCTCCATGAGGCTCTCTCGGAATTCGACTGAACTTGAATTAGTCAGCCGTTAAGACGGTTTAGCACGTTGGTAATGAATTAAACTCATTTTCGGCACGCTCCCTGGGCTATCCCGCAAATAAAGTATATTATAACATAACTCCCACGCCATGGAGATATTAATCTAGTCATTAAAATCTCCAGCTGAGGCCCCAGTGATTGACAAGCCCCTGAAAAAAGTCCCACACTGCCTATAGCCATCACGGGCCTACTGTTTATTCATGATTGACCCATAAATATGACATGATATTAGACAAGCCCATTGACCGAGCAATTTCTGTATTTTAATCAATATTTGAAATTAAAATTTAATTAATTTGTTTGATATTCATCATGGAAAGTTCCTTACTTGTGGTTGTCTCATTGGAAGAGTGAGTGATTGGGGATAACCCAATGAGTCATTATAGATGGGCGTAATTTCCCATCAAGACGGAATAAAATATGAAAAGAGATATTACACTAAATATTGTAAAGCGTGCTTATTCTGCCATTTAAAATATAATATTGTAAAAAAATTACCCCGTTTCTTATAAACATTACAATCCGATATCCAATCCCCAAAGAAAACTCATGTGTTCATTTTTATTCGATTTATTAAAATTTCAATAAATTAATTTCAAAAGAATAGAGAACAATCGAAACTTTAAACTAGAAATATTCTTATTATGCATTTTTGTTTTCCTAATTATAGCTTTATATTTAGTTTAAAAGAATTTAAACAATTGCTTATATAACTTGCTGTTTGTATACTTTCTTTTTTTTTCGTTTTGGTAAAAACATTTTACGTACAAGAATGCTAAATCTATATTTTTTTGTTTTTCCTTCTGGTTTTTGCATCTTTTCATTTACATTACAACATTAAAAATGATTTAACATAGGCAAATTTGTTGGTTTTGATTTTATGCATTTGCTTTAAATATAGTATAGGCATTAGCTAAGTTTTTGTGTGATTATATTTGTTGAACGAACAGAAATGGATAAGGAAAAATTGATTGATTGTTAATTCCGTAAGCTTTAGTTAAAAGTAAATGCAACAAAAATGGCTTAAAGCTTATGAAAAAAGTATAAACATGGTTAACATTTATATTTACTCAAAGATTAATTAATAAAAAAAAACTTTGGTCGAAAGCTTCAAAGATCTTTGGCAAAACAAATTCTTATCGTTGATTAGTTTGAAAACTGTTCGATCTTGAAATACTTTCCCAAAAAAAGTAGTTGCAACTATCAAAGCATTATTGATTAATTTTATATTGATAAAATGAGTAAATCAACACTAAACAAAATGTGTAAACAAACATTATCGTATAGCATATCTCTCTTTCGGATCCATCTTTATACGGATGCTCTGAGAAATGGTGTGGTCGATGTGGTGGTTGGTGATTCGGCCGACGGGTTGTGTAGATTGTACAAGACGCGTAGTATGCAAATTCGGTTCGTCTGATACCAATATATATGGTTATAGTTGTGGTGTTATGCGGTGTGGATATAACGATTGGGTGGTCGCAAGACAAGGACCGAAAAGTCCAACAGTTAGTTCAATAACTGTGATGTGCCCTCGCCTCAGAGTTACGATACACATATAGATATAGTATATCTCCTGACTAAACTCCGGCACATCGCCTGCGTCCGATTCGAACTTGTACTTGTTGTGGTCGGAAGGCATACTCTTCAGGGCATGCAAAACATAATCCAAAGATAGACATATACCACTTACTTTATAGATATATATATATAGATAGAAGGGGGAGGACGGACGCAGGGGACTTTTCGCTCAGCAAAATTAATGTGACACGCTTTCGACTGAACGCAGCAGACATTTACGCCTGGGATCGTTTGTGTGGGGTTTAGTATTACAGTGACTGCCATTTGTTCAGCTACTCGCGTGTCGCCCAGCGCAAAGACAGACGAAGATCGGTGGTCTAATTTGTAATTTTCAACTTTAATTCTTAGATCTTAGTTTTCTTTTCCTTTCGCAAAACACCTAAAGCCCATTAAATGTTAACAAAACTTGTAGCCTTTTAGCTGTACTCTTTTCAAATGAACGCGTGCATTGCATGGATAGAATTGAATGGTTTAAAGATTAATTCGTAATATGAAATTATTGCAATTTGTAAGGACCACCACCAAAAAAGAATACTAAAAATTTTACTACGGACGGGAAATGCAAGCGAAACTTAAATATAACCGCAAGTTTATTCAATTTGATTTGACTCTATTCAATAGTGTTGATTAACTAACATAACACAGCCCCTAAATGGCAATAAAAAGCGTGTATTAAACAAACAAATTAAAAAATTTGATAACTAAATATTTTGATATACCTATTTTAACTATTGCCGCATAAAGTGTATAATTAATTTAGAAATAAATAATTAAAATATCAAAAAGAATCAAAAAAGATTTAAGTTATAATATTTTAAGATACCTTAACAAGACTTTTGATTCAAAAATTAATTTAGAAATAAATAATGAAAATATCAAAAAGGTTATAAAACGTTATGACCTGTCGGTTAAAAAACACTTCTTAAGCTTCCAAAACTTGAAACTTTATAAAAGATCTTAGTTGTAACATTTATAAATACCTCAACAAGACTTTTGATTCAAACAAAAGAGTTAAGTTTATTTGCATTCCCGACAAAAATAAAGCATAAGTGATAAGTAAAAGCAACTCTACAAAATGAAATGCGTCCATCAAAAATATTTACAATCTTCGCAATACAGTTACCAGAGAGAGAGAATATATGCTACGAGTACGAGTACTGTGTACAGATGCGATTTTAGTCGGGGGATAGTGTGTGAATCGTATACGAGTAGTGCCACCGAATCTGGGATACTGTCTGTCTTGCATTGAGGTACTCTCGTCTGAAGCACGCCGTTCTAACACCGCAGGACTATCGAACCGGGCCAACGAAATTGATATGGCCGGCCGGCGATATCCCGATGGCGGTGCGGCTAATTTGCCAGACCACAGAGTCCAACATCAATTTTGCGCTAAACTGGCCCGAGTGAGGGGAATATGTTCGGCTTCACTCGCTTCTTCTTGGGCAGTTCACTTCACTTGTCATTGCTTATGATTAAGTTACACGGTATTGTTACATTAATACATAGATATATATAGTATTATATGGTTGGGTTACAAGTGTTTACTAGAGGTATACTCAAACAATGGTGAGGTTAGTTAGTGTGACGACGTGTGGTGCTCTCCAGGATTCTGAGTGCTAAGTTTAACTACCCTAGGCTACACTGGGTTAGGAGTATTCGAAGATCTCGCCGGGGCACGGAGAACAATCTGACTCATGCTGATTTCCATAAAAACATAACAAAACAAAAAAGGATACGACTAGTACTCTTTAACTGTCAATCGACTACTTATGCTAGCTACAATTTCATAGGTTTACCATCGGATTAACAAAAGACCGAGCTGAGTGCCTCAATGAAGGATCAAGTTATCGAGTATTATCTTTAATTAGTTCAATAACTATTTGAAGTTGTGGAAAGGAAGCTAGATGATAACTGGGAATTTTGGAAGAACACTACGGTAATAACAAAACAAAAGCATCAAGATCGATTCCAAAACAATGTATCTAGTGTACTTACTAACACGTGAGAAATTCCTATCTAGATGCCCTCTACAGGCAACTCTATAAGCTATATAGCGGTTTTACTGGGGATCTAGTTGTTTTATTGTAGTTGTCTCTGGTGTTTTTGTTGTTTAGTACCAACCATACCATAACCAAATGACTTAGGATAGATAGTATTTAATATGCATATATAATTATTAAAAAAGAAAAACAAATTGAAGGTAGATACCTGCTCTGATCTGTTGTCTCGCGACGACACACACCAAATATATATATATATTACATACCAAAAGAACAGAAACGATACAAAGAAATGTTGAATATTTTTTATAAATATGTTTTGTATGTATATAGTTAAATATACTATGTAAAGAAAGATAGGACTTACTTTTTGTCAGCCGCAACTGAACGAATGAACGAAGGTATAGACAACATGGGGCCTGAACGGAAGTAGTTGTATGAATTGTATAACATTGTAACAGTTTGCAGAGCATTTCACATGGACAGAAAAAATCGAAAGTATAAATTACGCACGAATAACACAAAAACAACACAAAAATGCTGCTTATGGCAATTGTCAACATACCCAGAGCTTTGAGCGTTCAGGTTTTTTTGGTTTTTTGGCTTTTGTGTGATTTCGAAGATTTTCGGATTTTTCTTTTCGGTTTTCATTTGTTTTGGAGGAGATATAATTAAACAACTTGAGTGTGTGAGTGTAGGTGGATGTGTTTAAAATATATGCTCACTAAATGAAACTAAAAAAAAAGAAAGAGAATGTTAAAAAAACAACATTTTGTATAGATAATGTCAACGATTAATTTGTTGATTATACAGATATAGATACAGATAAAAGATAGAGATCTACAGCACAGCAAAGTAGCTTCAGATGTTTAGTGTTAGTGTGTGTGTGTGTGTGGTACATTGTGTTATACAGAGAGAGCACGAATAATATATATCTAAAAGATGTATTTATGCACGCACATCGAGAAGTTCGGATTGGGGAAATTAAACAATTTGGATTGGAACAAAAGCTAGAATGGAGTGCTTTAGATGAACGAAAGGTATATATATATATATAGATGACATCGACTGGTTTACTAGGCATAACCGCTGATTAGTGGGTAGCGTGGGGCCAAGAAGTGGGTGTGTGTGTGGGGTGTGTGTTGTGTCTCAAAAACTGTTATACATTGAAAAAGAACTGACTTTGGTTGGAGTTTTCAAAACAACTTGCTTGCTGAGTGCGCGCGCTGCTTGCTGTTTGCAACTATAAGCATGATCATCCTCTTGCCTCACTCGTGGAAAAGCAGTGGCAGCGGCAGGCTCAACAGCGGTGGCTGAGCGTGAGCCTGCAGAGCGGCCGTCGTCCTGGAGAAGGGACGTGCAGGATGCGGCTGCGGTTGCAGGTGCGCTGGCGGCTGGCCTGCTGGCGCCTGCAACAGACCCGGCGCAGCGGGCAGACATCATCTGAAGCGCGGCTGCATCATCTGGAGCATGTTCGGATGTCCCTGCAGCATCACGCCCATTCCCGGCATCGCCATCGCTCCAGCGGGCAAGGCACCCGGCATTCCCGGCAGTCCTATCTGCATGGGCAGCAGGCCTAAACAGAGAAAGAATATATTAATCGTTGAATACCATTGATTTCCACATCTTTGATCTACTCACCTGCTGGCATTCCATTGAACCCGGGTCCACCGGCTGCTCTTAGCATATTCCCGCCGATCAGAGCTCCATGGGGACCGATGGCCATGGCCGGTCTCAGCATCGGCTGCATCAGCTGCATGTGGCCAGGTATCGGCATCTGGAGGTGACGGATCGGATGAGGAGAGAAAGATATAGAAGAGCATGGAAACGAGAGCTCGGATTAATACTCTTGAGGGCACTTAAGCCGGGTCTATATTGAAGCCATTGTACACAAAATTAGCTAAGTTGTTATTAATTATGTTTGTATTGTTTTTTTTTTCATTTAAAATATTAATAAGTTGGTTTTTGCGTACTTATTCAATAAATGGATAAGAGGTGTGTGTGTGTATGTGTGTTTTTTTTTTTTTTTTGTGGGTGGAAAACATTTTTGCATCGCATTACAAATGTATGATAGAGCAGAGACAAGATATATAGAGTAGAATATTGAGTAGAGCAGCGAGAAGAGGCGAGACGACTTCTTCTCTTCTCACCATGGCAAAAACAATATAATTTTTTTGTTCATTTGTAATTAAATAGTTTGTTGATTTAAAAAGAAAAGTACTTACAATTCGGAAACTGAACTGACGACGACGATGGTGTGGAAGAAGGTGTGAGGGGATTGCATTGCAAACCATTTAAGGTTTTGTATCTTAATATTGGTTTTTGTATCTTAATATTGCACTTCAATTGCAGCAACGTTTATTAATTAATCGTATTCGCACTTAAGAGAAAGAAATAGTAATTTGATTTACTACCCGGAGGCATGGGGTCGAGTTCAAGTTCCAATATCTTTCAGTTAGAAGTTAGTTTTCAAACTGGGCTAAGATGGGAGTTGGATGAGGGTGAGATGGGGTTAGGAGAAGGGGTTCTATGGCAAGCTCATCGGTGGAAAATGAAATGGAAAGGATCTGCACCCGATAGTCCTCTACCTTTGATAAGCATTTGTACTGCGCATAAAACCAGATGAATGATGGTGTACTCGTATGTTAGTCGGGCAGTAATCGAAAGGAAACGGATTGTATGTACGGGGAAGTGGGGGGACAGAGATGCACGATCTTTAGAACATAAAACATTGATTTGGTAGTACAATTTACAGATCAAAGAACATTTAGATATTATGCTTATGAGATATATTTCAGATTGTTTGTATATTTTGGGTGGATGAAGTTATCGAGGTAATAGAGATAGAGATATAGAGACATATCAATGCGGCGTGTAGTCTTACTTAATTCATGTGTATATTTTGTGGATATGAATTAATCAATCAACCAGTCAATCAATCATCAATCAATTAAACCAACCAACGCAGCAACCATTACGACAAATTCAAAGTATTTTGTTTTTTTTTTTGTTTTTTGGTAATAGAAATTATTGAAATGTACTTACATGGCTTGCAAAATAGTTTATAAACATAACTCACGACTTTTCTCTCATTCATTATGATAATTGTAAGTTCATTCTGTTCTCTTTTACTTGCAAGGCAGTACGTACTAGAAACTTTCTTGGGGACGGGATTGATCTTGTGGATTATATACGCATGGGGGGTGAGTGATTGAGAGAGATAGAGGAGAGTAGGTACTTGCTTAGACTACATAATTACTTGCATAAGTACGACTAATTAGATTATAATTGAGTTGTTGGCTTTTACTTATCTTGTTGCATTGCGCACTTTGCATTTCACATATCATATTGCGGGGTGTGAGTTTTAATCAGGAGGGAGTGATTAGGTTGGGTTGGTGGGGGAAGATAAACTTGTTGTTGTTGTACAAAAACGATACATACTGTAAACTGTTCGGGCCCTGCGCAACACTTTTGCAACTTTTTATCGTTTATCAACACTGAACTTCTGCTCTGTACTGCAATTGTAACGGTAACTTTAACACATTTTTCGAGTTTACAAGCTAAATACTGTTTAGAATTTGATATGGTGTGAGACATATTAGTTGAGACAGTTGAAATCCCTTGTTGGATAAGCTGGATAAAAGTGATGTGTTCAAAAAGTAAAGGAAATCTCAAGCGGCAGTGTTGGTAAGCGTTCGTAGTGAACCAAATGGATTATTTTACATATGATTGAAAAGTTATTTGAATTTTAAGGGGAGAACTATTATTGGCTGATGACCTCTCAAGTGGTTATAAGGTACTTGTACACCCAGAAAAATAGAGAACGAATAATTTGAGAACGAACGTTCTTAAAAATGTACCGAATGCAGCGAACTTCGAAACAGGCTATTTTTTCCTTGAGTGTAAAAGGTCTAGGATTACAAAAACTGTTTCAGATACTTTTAAACACATCGGTTATCCCCTTGACAAAGATCAATAATGACTTCAACAAATGATTTCAACGGCAGAAATATATATATTAGTTCTGTGAGAGTGGGGCTTGGTTAACTCTTGATTATCTAGCTTGAAATCAGTTAAATTTTAGGTCCCCCAAGTTATCTGGAAAAACATTTGCTAGTAGGTGATTAGCATGATGATGAGGGCGAAGCTCTATACTAAATCGGGTTAACCCACTGGAAAATGCTGTCGTTGGCTTTTTGGTACCACCCTGGGACACAAGATCGGTATTTGTTTCGTTTTTTTTGTTTTGTGGTCTTTTACAGATTGAGATTCTCAGCACTTGGAATTCGATTTTGTTAAGTCAAGTTCATTCTTTTGATTGGTTGTTCGCTTTGCATTCGCAGCACCGCAGGATTAGAGACTTACCATGCCGACGGCTGCGGCCGCCGCAGCCGCTGCTGCAGCGCCAGGATTTGCCGGCTGCCGGGCAGCCTGAAAGCGCTGGAGCATCACAGCCCGATTCAGTTCCTCCAGTTGCTTGACCTGCTGCTGCTGAGCCGCATGATGCTGCTGCGCCACGGCCTGTTGCTGTTGCTGCTGCTGCGCCACCGTCTGCTGTTGCTGCTGCGCCGCTTGCTGCTGCTGCTGTTGCTGCTGGTGCTGGTGCACCGCCTGCTGCTGGGCTGCCACAGCGTGGGCCACATGGGCGGCCTGCACCTGGGCCTGGACCACGGCCTGAGCCTGGGCCTGAGCCTGCGCTTGAGCCTGGGCTTGGGCAGCATGGACGTGCGCCTGAGCCTGAGCCTGTGCCACGGCTACTAGAGCGGCGGTCTGTAAGAAAATTTTGGGAATCGATTGAATTCATCTCAAATGCCACTGGGAAGAGTTTTTCTTTTGGGACAGCCCATTTCCTGTATGAAATTCTATATCCTGGTGATAAATTGTTAACTATATTCCTATTCTACTAAAAGGGGAGTGTGCATTTTAAATATATTGCAACCTTTTTTCAAGGCTTTACTTGAAATAGAACAATGCTATCAATTGCCAATCATTTGTTATCTGTTACTAAAGATTTTTTAACAATTTTATATATTCTACAAAAAAATTGTTTTTGAACTACCAAGAACTCGAAATAAAAGTCCATAAAAATGTAACGAAAGGGGATGCTCTTAACTCTTTCTTCAGGCACTTATTTAAAGTTTAAAGTCCGCCCCTAAGATCCGATCAAATTGACCCACCCGACAAATTATTTTCAAGCTATTGTTGATATTCATCCCTTTAATCAATTGAATTTATTCGAATTGTTAGGGTAGGAAAACTGGCAGCTTTTCTGGTTTATTAGATTTTGGTTTGGGGACAGAGGTTGAGGGACCAAGACAAAATAAAACCTTATATTTCCCTTCTTTCGAATTCCCTAGGTTTCGTGGAAAGATGCTTTATATCAAAGAATCTTAATTGGTTAAATTGAAAACCGCCGTTTCGTTTGTTTTGTTGCCATTAATTTTTTTGTTTAATTAAAAAATTGTACAGACATATATCATACTATATGCTAAAAAAGTTATTCTTTTCTTTTAATTCTGTTTCGTTTTGTGTAATTCTGTTTGCTTTCGTATGCTGTGGTCGTGTAAACGTAATTTCCGCCATTGCATTTTACGAAAATTACAACGTCGACGTAATGGTAACCAAAATTGGTATCAGTAATGTGTAAAAAAAACGTGTCCAGTTTGGAAAAATGGAATTCTCTTAGAACGCAAAATGCAGTCGAAATTCAAATGTGAGTCAAGTTTTGTATGTGCAATTGTATATTTTATTTTAATTTATTTTCTGAGGAATTTGTCTTTTTTACACGTCCGCGTTTCAGTCCGTTGCGTTGTTAATTCCTGTTTATCAGTTTTAAGTCGTTTCCGTCGCGGTCTGTTTATTTATATTGACTATGGTTTCTATAACTATGATAAGAACTCACTTCCTGGGCCTTCGACATGGCTGTGGAGACGGCAATCGCGTTAGCCATGCCACTGCTGCTGTTGCTGCCCGTGGGCGAGATCCCGGCCAGCGACGGTGGCGGCGGGGTAGCGGGCATCGACGCCAGGGCACCGCCATTGTTGCTGGGACTCTTGCGGTTTTGTGGATTCGCCAGAGCAGCCATAGCGGCCGCCAGACGCGCCTGTATCTTCGGTTGCCGGGCACGCAACTCCTCCAGGCTTATGTCCTCCTGCGGGTGCATGATCTTGGTGGTCACAGCAGCGGTGGCAGCGCCGCCTGCCGCTGGCGGAACGGGTGGTCGCTGCTGATGTTGCTGGCCATCGGGCGGACCACTTGGTGGTGCGCTGGTTGCGCCACCAGCATGATTGGTGGTGGGCGGAGCACTTATGGTAGCATTACTTTATCGAGAAAGCAAAAACAAAGTTTAACGTTAGTTGAAAAGATCTAGGATTAGGCCTAGAAGTAAGTCGTCAACTTGCTTCAGAGGCTGAACTTAAGGAGGGGAAAACCACTTAGAAAATGCCACAAATGATTGTTTCTTAAGGTCTAAAAGAGCATGATATTTCTGTTTCAAGGTAACGACGTTTGACTTTAAACTTAAGGCATACAACTCACCTCAATCAAAAAGGCATCAAACCTAAAAGTTCCATACAAAAATGACATTAAACTTATTCTGTAGGGAGAATTAATTTCTTTGGCTTTTTGATTGAAGTAAGTTCATTTTGCTTTCAAAAAAATGTAAGAGAAATATTTCTCTGCGAAGTTCAGCATCCTAAAACAGCACTACAATACATTCCATTTAGTCAAACGAAATCGGCATAATTCTAATATGGTTTTCCCCGCTATCGGTGCCCACCTGTACGCTGGAAATGTTGGCTTTTGCTGGGCCATGGCGGCGGCGTGGTGATGATGGGCCGCAGCCGCAGCAGCTGCCGCCGAGGTGGTAGCCATGGCGGCTGGGAAGAGGGGTCGCGGCGGCATCATGTGCGGCATCATGGGCACTGGATACGGAGGCAACGGCGGCATGTGCTGCATCATGCCCATGCCATATTGGCCCAGCATGTGTGGCGGCATCATGTTTGGGGGCATCATCATGGGCGGCGGTACGCTCATGGCATCTGCAAACGAACGTGGGGCTTAGAGATTTATGGAGATTATTATGGATGGCTGGGTGGAAGACTCACATTCCACTTTCTTTTTGGCCACCGGCTCATCGTCGTCCGAATCCGACTTGCCGCCATTCTTTTGGCGCTCGTGATCCCTGAGATCTTCGGCGGGAATGCCGTCCATGCCGAAGATTTCGATTTCTATGTTTGAGCGATTGGGCAGCGAGTTGGGCACCTTGTCAACCGTCTCCTTGTGCACCTGCATACAATGGATGGAGAGCCCCGGTCCGGTGTACAACTTCTTGTGGCAGATGTGGCACTTAAAGTGCTTGGCCTTCTGGTGCTGCACCAGGATCTTCTCATCGTCGAACTCTCGGTTGCAGTACCTAGTTTTTTAGTTAAGAGTTAAGGAAAATTTCTCGAGATGTGGCCCTTTACCCCTACCCCTCCCCCGCCCACTTTCTGCAGCACCCCAACACCATTATATAAATTTGTGTGTATGTATGTGGAGATACAGCCAGCGGTACATGCCGTGAAAAAAAAACTTGTTTGTTTTGCGAAAAGGATACCAGCACCAGGGTTTGGAGGCCTTCTTCTTCTTGCGGCCCATTGTTTGTTGGTTACTTTAAAACACTTAGACTTAAACAAACGCTCGAGTAAGTGGTGTAAAAATGCAATCTGATGTAGCAAAAAAGGTTCCGCCGTGGAAAACAAAATGGAGAGCCAGTCAGAGTGACCAGATGGTGTAAAAGCTTTTACGAACGCGGAGTTATCGATAAAGTACACTGTTTGACTCGATAAAATGTACTTTTCGTATCACTTTTAATTATTCAAATTTATTAATAATAATAATTTAAATTTAATAAATAATAATTTATTAATTTTTGAAGCTATCTGATTTGTTTCAACACTTTTACTTGTATTACTGTATATTAAAATATAGTTTGTTTTCCTTCTTTTGAAAGGAATATGATATTGGAACCATTATTTTTAATATCGTACAAAAAATAAATTCTCTTAGTCCATCATTAGTTAATATAACGCTTTCTAGCAAATAACTTGTATGACACAAATGAAGTACTACATAATGCCAAGGGAATGTATGAACTTATTACATTGTTATTCATGACCTCAATATGAAACATTTAATAAATTTCATTCTTTGACAAAATGTATTCTTAATTCTGATATTATTTTTGAACTGATAAAAACAACAATCCCACAACCCTGCCACCATTGTTACTATCGATACTTGTACCGATGGTTGTGCAGTATGACTAGCTCCCCCTGCCGGCGAGTAGCGCTATATCTTGGTGGCATTTCGTGGCACACCAATCAACGGTCACTCTAAACCCGCCGGCTTTTATTATTACCAAAAAAAACAGAATAATGGCAGATAAAAAGGTAAAATAAATAAATGCATTAACATTCAGGGGCTAATCAAATGCGTGACCTTGCAGGTGGGTGGCGGCAACAACGACGGCAAGGAGAAGCGTCGCAAGGAGTCGATTCTGGACCTCTCCAAGTACCTGGAGAAGCAGATCCGCGTGAAATTCGCGGGCGGCCGCGAGGCATCCGGAATCCTCAAGGGCTACGATGCGCTGCTCAACCTAGTGCTTGACAACACGGTGGAGTACCTGCGGGACTCCGACGAGCCCTACAAGCTAACCGAGACGAACCGGAGCCTGGGACTGGTCGTGTGTCGTGGTACAGCTCTGGTCCTCATTTGTCCGCAGGACGGAGTTGAAAGCATTGCCAATCCGTTTATAACGCAATAATCGGAGGATCAGGATCAGGATCTGTATATCTTACTGTGGACCTTCGGTTCCAGGTCTAGACTAAGTACAAAGCGCTTTTATGGAAATCGGTTTAAATATATTTAGCGAAGACATTCGTATAAATTAGTTCTTAAATCTATTTAGGCCACAAATTACAACTTTTGTCGGCCCTCAAAAAGAGGATTTTTGACTCCATATTATGATTGTCTCGGAAATTATGTTTACACATTTTCTGTATACAAGGCAAGTTTAGAAATTCTCTGAGATTTTTGTTACAATATGATTTTGATCACCTAAATGTTAATCTTTCTAGCTCTAATAATTCCAATTAATAAATATTGAGCTCCTAAAGTTGTATTAAAATCCTTGATATTAAATTCAGAATTAACTAATTAGCACCTTCGAACAACCTTGTAAATAATATAATAATATTATTCAACAGTTTTCCATAATGTTCCAAATTTAAATAGAATTCTTAAACAATTCTGTAGAATACCAATTGGTATTTATCTGTATCACCATGAATGCTGATAAATGCAAAGTTATTGAATAAGAGGCCTTCTAAGACTTGCTTTCTGGACAGCTCAAATATTATGTGGATCTAAAAACCCCTTCCGAGGCCTCGTTTAGTGTCATGCGGGCTATCACCTTAGTCCAAACCGAACTCGTTGCGAATCCAGGGATACTGGGAAGGACACTCCATGCACGTATAGAAGAAGCGATCCTCCTGCAGCACCCGACTCCGCACCTTGCACACATTCGGCAGGTTGCAGACCCGTTCGTGGGGATCCAGATCCTTGGGCTGGCAATGCCAGGACTCGAACTGATGCAGCTGATTGCTGGGCGTGGGATGGCGCATCCACTGAATCGCCTGCTGATTGGTTACAAAGTGCACATCCGGCAGCTTTTGCAGATCGTCGAGGAATTTCTACATGAACAATGAAAAATGAGAATCAAATTCTATCTTCTCCATTCAACACTCACCAGAAAGGCATTCAGATAGTCGATTTTCTTGAACCAAGTGGAATGGAAATACAGGCCAAAGGGCGCCCTGTTGCTGAGGTAGTGCCTCTTGAAGTTGTGCGTCAGCATTCTGTACACATCCTCGCCGCTCAAATGCGGCGGACAGCTGTCCACCATGCCGCACATATATTCACCCGCCTCTAGTTGATTCATCACCAGCTCCCAAATACCCGGATAACTCCTTGATGGACAATTCTGATTTACACCCGTACAGGTGTGCGGCATCTTGTAGTCCAGGGTGTAGGGCCAGAGAGGAGGATTCGAGTGCGGTGCCACCATGGAGGAGTCGTACACGAAGCCAAACTCCTTCATCATGAGGAACTGCCGATTCCAGCCGACGCGCAGAAAGGGCACCCTCATTCCCCGGATCTCCTCCATTCGAACGGCGGCAAACTTGTTGATGATGTTCGCCTGGCCAACCATCTCGTCGAACCAATCCTCTATGGTGGCGTTCTTGGACCACCACAATTCGGGACCACGGTGACTAAGTGAATAAAAATAAATGGTATAATTAATAACTATATTATATTTACAGTCTGATGAACTTACGTGACCGAGTGCACGGCTATTTCATGACCATCGTTCCACAGCTTCTGGACATACTGATAGTTGGTAAACGGGTGGGAGACATAGAATGTGCCCTTGATGGGACAGCCATTCGGATTCCTCCTGTTCTGTGTGAACAAAACCTTGGAGAATAGCTCCCAATTATCATGGTTGATGGCATCATCGAAAGTCAGCAAGATCATTTGCGGCACACTCTGGGCAGGAATACCACCGGGTATCTGGGTGCCATCCTTGGAGCAGAAACACTGAGGCAACTGGCATTTCCGGGGATCACAAGCACCCGCCGCATTCGGATCATGCTCCACATCACACCAACCCTCGTCGGAACCGTCGGGACAGTCGACCGATCCGTCGCAGAAGTACTCCTGCGGCAGGCAGGTGCCATCGGCGCAGCCCAACTGGTATTCATCCGCACAGTCGGCCATCTCCAGGAGGGGCTTCGGAGCCGGCGTCTCCGCGCTCACATCGCAATTATCCACATTTGCCTTGAAGTCACAGATCTGACGCACCACATCGAAGAGCAGGCCCTCGGAGCACTTGAACTCGAAGACCTCGCCGTCGAGGCACAGGAAATACTTGGCACACTCACTGTTCGTCCAGATCTTGTGGACCGGCCGGTTTGGATTGCGGTAGAAGCGTGCATCTTGCATGCAATTGGCTGGCGATGTTCCTCCTCCGGAGGTCGCGCGACGATGTCGAGTGTGGTTGCTCGTGATTATACCATTTCCATCATTGTCTGCAAAGCAGGCACACATTCGTTAACTGGGTGTGAGATAGCCGTGTGTAATTAACAAGGAGACTAATTAATGCGGCTGACCCAAAAACGAAACCGCTCACGTCAAAGCCAAAATTATCCACTACCGATTGCAGCAATATTTCTTCTGGTTTTTTTCTTCAGCTGGCTTCCACCAATCACGCACAGAAATGGGAGGTAGTTACGAATAGCCAACTGTGGAAAATAAACGCCACATAAGCCCACGTTCGCCATTCGCCACTTGAGTTGAATTCGATTGGAAAATTTGACAAATTTCAAGGAAACATATATTCCACCTACTAGTTAAAGAGAGCCTAAAGTAATGAGTTGGCTTGTGATGACCTTTCTGATATGCTAGAGACCTCGATTAACATTTAAATAATTTTATCTCAGATGATCTTTCATCTTGGTAACTGAGAAATATGATTTATATGGCGACTAGTCACGATATACTGACATTCCAAATTATAATCACTTGCCATTTGAATATAATTTATAATCATTAACTCGCTGAAAGAATAGAATTCTTTGGTAACCTTGCAACTTTATAGTTGGGATTGGTTTGTTTTACTTTTAATGACTTAATTATGTTTCAAAATTTGTTATTTCTTTTTTATTTTAATGGGATTTAGACACGACACTTGAAAGTGAAGCTAAAAACAGATCTGTTGGCTATATGGAAATAAACTTTTTAAGGAAACCTCCTGCAAATATCCCGTGGAATAACCAAGAATTCAAAGTTAATAGGAACTTTTTTTGTAAAAATATAGGAAAATGTGTTAAAATCTCAAAGTCCTAATTGAAGCGATTTTGAAAAACGATTTCTTTTTATGATTTTCCAGAAACTCTGGAAAGCACTGGAATAGCCAATATTTGGAGGTTCCCGCAAACCAAAATTCATAACTCCTATTAAAATCTCAAAAACCTTCCGGAAATAGGGTTTTCTAGGAAAATGTGTTTAGAACACAGAATCGTTACTGAAGTCTTTTCGACATTATATAATATATTCCATTTTCTTCCAGAAACTCTTGAAGATCTTTTGGAATACCCATTCTCTGGAACTCCCCCGGCTCCACCCACTTGAAAAAACGCCCCCAGTCGTGGGCCACAATGCGGCGTATAGATTGAAATGCGTTTGCATCATGGATTGGCAGCAATGGCCCGTAGCCGTGCCGCACCAGATCGTAACTCAGGCAGATATTGGGCAAGAGACGCGTGTTGGCCAAATGCAAGATGCGATCTCGAGGCTCGAGATATGTATGGCTATAACAGATAGTCCAACTGACTGGCTGTCTGGGCTGCCGTGTATGTATGTATCTCAATCTCAATCTCAATCTGTGGCTCTAGCTGGAGCAGCTGGGCAGTTGCAGCATTTAGAAAGTAAATTTATCATCTTGTGAGTTTGGAGAGGCCAAGGCAGCGGGTCAGGAAAATTTCAGCAACTGAACTGTCATGGGGTTCAATGCACACGCTCTTTTTTTTTGCTTTTTTGGGTGGGGTACGGGGACAACTCGAACCCACTTGGCGCCCCGTTTGTGGTTATATAACTCTCCGATCCGATCGACAACTTTCACACCCAATGCGCGCGCGCATGAGCATGCCAAAAAAAAAGCATAGAAATAAAGGCAAGACACGCATCCAATCAAAATCAAAAACCGAACAAAAGGGGAGAAATTACCAATGACCAGGGCATCCAGCGAAGACGACATAATCATAATCACCATTATTAAGCTGAGTAATGAGTGGGTGTTGATGTGGGGCGGTGTTAGCGGCCTAAAGCGTCGCTGGGCGGAAGCGACGACCTTGACTGTGAAACCCGTTTGGCAATTTACATTTTCCCCCGGGCAGAGCATTTTTCAGCCTGCTTTCTTCCACTTTGTGTCGTGTGTCCAATATTTATCCGTTTCGATTCGAGACGAGCGTTTTTATTTCTGCTCTGCTGGAAAAACTAAGAAAATCGCGAGTGGAACCGCACCGAGCCAGAGACGAATTGTGACTGAAGTCGAGCCAGATGCAGCAAAGGCATTATATATTTGGGCATTTCTCTTACAAGAGGGTAGCGGAGAGCCGGCCAGAGAAAGCTCTTTGCAGTGGGTGATATATTTATGTTTGAGAGCCAGGGAGAGCATTTTTCAAATATTAGTTGGCTGAATTATTTATAAGTATGATAACAACATATTACTTAATAGTGGTTTCCGATTTAAAAATATATAAATGGTCGTTAAATTTTCACAAATCTATTTTTTGGTTGAATGTTACATTTCTCATATTTTTTTAAATTAGTATACTTTATAAGGAACTTTGAGACTTTGAAAAATTATCGTAAATATCCTATCCTACCAGAAATTAAAAGACCTAGAAAACCATTGCTTATTTAAAAAAATTTATAAACAAATATCATTTTAAGAAATAAAATATTGAAAGAACCATTGATTTGATATCTTACTTCTTCGTTTCCGTTTAATCCGTTTTTAAAGCCGGTGTAACGGTCATTTTAAATTTAAACGAAAGAGCTGCCAACTCACCTTAGATTTCCTTATTTGAAGTGGCTTTGGGGTATTTTGGGTGTAGACGAAGACGGTCACACTGCAATTAGCGTCCTATTTTTTGTTGGCGCCCGAAAAAAAGTTATTTGTAATTGGCGGCCACGGCTTGGTTTAATCCACTCTTGGTTTTCTCTACGAAGGACTCAAAATGCAGAAGGCGCGTCCTAGCAAGGGCACGCCCAAGGCAGTGGGCGGTGGACGCCAGAGCGGCCAGTTCCGGGTGCCGCAGCTAACTGCCCAGCAATTGCGGGCACAGCAACAGCAGGAGGAGGAGGACGCGGGCATGGACGCCCTCGATGATGCCCTGATCTTCGACGACGAGGAGGGTGGCACCAGGATCGGCGACATTTACATCCCGCCGCCGGTGCCGCCACATTGCTCCATGGAGAGCGTGGGCCCGCGACTGATCATCGCCAAGATTGTGAATCGGAATTTCAAGAGCTACGCCGGCGAGGTGGAAC